CTGAATGAGAGATGAAAAAAAAATGACAAAGTACAATGACAAAAAAAAAACATAAAAAAGTTATTGCTAGCTTTAAATACGAAGCGCATTTTAAGGAAGAATGGCTTTTTGATTATGAAATAAAATTGTAAAATGAAAGGAATGTAAATGCTGACATGGTTGGATGTAAAATGTTGTTCTCAGAATTAGGATGTGAAATGAGATGACGAATTTTAATGTCTTTATCAGGAAATTGATGATTACTTTGTGTTTACATAAAATGAGGTAATCGGATTTAAAATATTTATTGAATGAGTTCTGTTTATTTAAAGAAAACGATGCGAAATTTGTAAATCAGATTTAAGCAAAAATTGTTTTCTTAAAATTTTTTTAAAATCCATTTTTTTAAAATCATTAATCAACTTTAATACTTTTAAATGTCATACATCTGATCTGCTACAGCTCAATCTTCCTGGCTCTAGTAAGCAATACTAAAAAAACCATTTAAAAAGTACGAATAAGGTATACTTTTAAGGCAGGAGCAGAGTTGTCACCTATCGAATTCCTATCAAAGGCAAAAATCTATCCCAGGCATTACCTTTGTATAGGCAGAAATTTTTGCCTTTGCCTAGACATGCCTAGTCAAAGACAATACCTAGCCAAAGGCATTACCTAGAAATAGGTGTGCCTAGCCAAAGGCAAAAAAGTGTGCCTAGTCAAAGGCAATACCTAGCCAAAGGCAATACCTAGCCAAAGGCAATACCTAGCCAAAGGCACTGCCTTTGTAAGATTAAATCTACTATAGAAATTGCCTTTTACCTTTAGTCTTACTCATTGAGTTTTTTTTAAATTTAAAACATCTTTTTTTCTTAATTTGAATTTATTTGAGCATAATAGTGAATCATACCTTCTTTTAAACCAATAATTTGCTACGTCGAAAATTTAAAAAATTTAATTTGTCGTTTTCAAAAATTTTGTCGCCATGGATAAATCAAAATTCGGCGTTTCAGTCATTTGGAGAGGGTCTATAGTTTTTCAATGGTTCAAACAAAAGAAATTTTGCATTATTGTTCAAAAACTCAACGAGTAAGACTAAAGGTAAAAGGCAATTTCTATAGTAGATTTAATCTTACAAAGGCATTGTCTTTAGCTAGGTATTGCCTTTGACTAGACACACTTTTTTGCCTTTAGCTAGGCTTGCCTATACCTAGGTGTTGACTAGACAAAGGCAAAAGCTACCATGCTCCGTTGAGGCACCTTTTCAAAGGTACCTATCTGACAACTCTGGGCAGGAGTGATAAATACCGCCTAATGAATTGCTTTTTTCCTGGTGTACGGAACGACAAAAGTCACTAATTTAACTACTTCTTCTACAAACCTCTATTCTTGAAAGCTATGCACAACACAGGAACAAGTTATGACGAAGCCAATAAAAAAAATTCAACAACCTTTGCAAGTCTGAGATTGAATTTTAATTACTCACCAATTTCCATTAAACCTGATAGCATAGAGCAAGAAGCATCCATTAAATACAAGAAAATTATGACCCAATTTACTGTAAAAGTTTATTGAAAAAGTTTTGATCGTATATTTATTATGGGAAACTGTACTTATTCCTCTCACTTGTTATACAAACGATACATGTAGTAAAACTTTAAATACTGTATAGTTATAAATAAACTAACAGAAGATGACATAAAATAACATAGTAGATACATATGTCCTCTGAAAAACTAACCGTAAAATAGATTGTATAAAAAGGGATGTAACATAATACCGTATAACAATCAAGATAGAGTCATCATAATCATAAAAGTTTTAAATTTCATAATTCAACTTAAAACCAACAAATTTTTTTGATGTCATATTTTTTATGGACATCCGTTCTCTGATGAAATTTTTTTGAGCTTACTCTCAGCTTACTTTTCAGTCACGGATGCTGAAAATTTGTTGATAAAAAGTTTTGTGTTGGTTTGGAGCTTTGTGGAAAATGAAGTGGTTTTCCTGTGATTTTAGATGGTTATTGTCTCTTCAGTGCTGCGCTAATTTTAGATCTCTTTGTGAATCTTTATTTATGAACAAAATGGACAGTCATTTAATATAGATTTAATCATACTGCGAAATTCTTGTTTGCTCCATTCTAAATAATAAAATTTTTGGAAACATTCTTCGAAAAATCATAGCTCATGCTTAGTTTTGGACTATCAAAGTTTCAATGTGACAAATCCAGTTGAAAATCAAAAACCAATCCACAGTCAATGATGAATTTAAATTATTTAAATTTAATCCTCTTTAGCATTAAATAATGCACGTTATAAGAGTTTTAAGTAAAATTTAATCTATAAAAGATTATAATACTCATCCTATAAAATTTTCATTACACAATTCTATACCTAGTCATAAATTTACTTCAAAAAATTCCTTTCATCTACAAAATCACATTACGTGTGCATTTCAGCATGATAAAGGAAACGAAAATATAAAAATGGAATTATTTTAGAACGAGATCCATTTTGCATGTAAAAATATTGAAATGAATATCAGCAACAAATTTTGATTCTCTCGTGCAATAGATTAGCAAAAAAAAAATTGAAACTCGAAAATCCTCTTTCATGTTATTTCAGCTGTTGAAAGGATTAAAAAGATTTTTTGGATCCGTGTTGTTTTTCCCGTTGCTTTCAATCGACATCAAATCAATATAGTTGTTCATTTATTAATGGAATGCATTAAGAGATTAAAGGGTGATGATTACTGAATGCAAGCAAGGAAGGTGATATATTTGGATTTATGATGAAAATTATTTACATGCTGTGCTGTATTTGTTTATTTACAGTGCATTTTTTCGATTGATTGTTTTGTGAATTATTTCAACTCCGTCCTGCTTTATTCAGTTATTGTGTAAAATGGTGACTGATCTTATGTTGTTCAAAACTTTATAAAATTCTGAACCTACTCTCTCTGTCATTTGAACCCAGTTTATGGTTAAATAACATTCAGAGTTTTCTACTTCAATTTTTTGCTTGTTGCTATTTGAAAAATTATGTCTCAAATTTATAAAATTAGAAATACAACAATTCTTTATTATTTTGCATCTCCAAGCAGCGCCAGTTCCAACAAAACATGCTGAACATTAAAATTTATTGTTCCACAAGCTCCAATCTCCCCAGAATGCGAATGTAAATTATCAATTAAAACGAATATTTGTTTAATTAGCCATAAAAATAAATAACAGCACATTAAATCAATTTTCGTGCCCCAAATCTGTTTTCCATAAATCCCAAAAGGTCATTTACATCTTATTCAATTAATCTCGTATAAAACCCTTAAATTATAATTACATTGGCTTGCACGCTTTCTTCATAATTAAATAATGAAGGGTTTGGGATTACATAACAATCTACCTTCAATCAGCAGCGATAATCACGGCAATTTAAAATTTATGTAAGGGACGAAGGATCCTTTCTAAGTTGTCCAGCTGTTAAGCATCTGATTTAGCATTTTTAGAAGCTTAAAAGCTTAAATTTACATTCGCAAGAAGCTTATTTTCTTTTGTTCAATCTCATCAAAAAAGCTGATTTGCTGCATATCCTGAATGTTAGACATGCTGAGCTTTGAAAATGATTGGCACTAAATTTTATTGACTCCATATTTCAGCAGACGAAAAATCTGTGTGAATTTAAATTCTCCTTTCATCATCGTTTCATGAAGGAAATGTGAGGAAGTTCATTCAACACGCTAAAGTTTATTCACTTATCTATAAAATATTTTTACAGTTGTTGCTGTTTGTTAAACTTTGCTCACAAAATAAAGAGATAAAAAGTAGGAAATATAAAAGAGAAAAATATTTTCTGTGGCATTTTTAGTCATTTTTATGGATGTTTGGAAGGAAAATAGTGAGGTTATGCTGCAGATTTGGGATGGCTGACTGGCGAGATGAACTTAGTAAAACGTTGCTAAATTATGTGGAACCTTTTTTAATGGTGATTCTAACTCTTAAACATCATTCCAGTTTCATGTCGATAGCTTCCACTTTCACGTAATCCAATTTCCTTCCAATACAAAAGCGCTTCTTAACCTAAGAATTTCAAACCCTAAATTCACTACTTCTCCAACAACAAAAAAAAAAGCTGAAATAGACTGAAAAAGCAGCGACACGATGGGAAGCCTTTTGTTTACTTCAAACAGAACACAGCACAAATGTTTTCATTGTTCAGGGTGTCTTCTTCCTCCTACATACATATTTTTTAAAAATCCCATAGACTTATTGTGAATCGTTTTGCTTTTGCTCTGGTAAACAGTTCTTTTTTTGCGTCTTCTTCTCCTATCCCTGTGTCTGTATGTATGTATACATCCTCTTCCGGTTTCAATTACAATTGAAAATGAGAAGAGAAAGGAGCGAAGTAAAAACGGCAATTGAAAATGAGAATGTAGAATGGAAGTTGAAGAGTTCAATGATTTTTAAGAGTAATAGCGATTTTTTTGTGTCGGAGTAAGAAAATGTCAACGGATAAATTGCTTTTCAATCGTTTGAATTTAAGTGAACTAGTTGCGATGTAACTGCAATTTAGCCTACAGCTTGTCCATTGAATTAAATAACCACAAATTAATGTAAATAAAAATATTTTTAAAATTATTAGGAATTGAACCGTCGAACTTCGAGTTTCCACATTAAAGATTAACACTCTGCCAATTACGCTATCAAGGCACTTACTACTTTCACAAGAGCTCGCATAAAGCACTTTAACACTTTGACAAAAACTAATTATTCTATTCAGTCATCTTCCTATTTATTGTATTTCCTTGTTGTTGACTTTCTATGACTCAGATTATCATATTCATCCTTAAACCATTCAATTTGCTTTGAACAATAAAACGCACTTTCTAATTTATATATACCGACAATCTCATCATGCAATTAGTGTTCTATTCAAATTCACAATGTTTTGTGTGACATCAAAGACTTTATAGACTGGTATAGACTATACAATAATTAACCTCAATATCATTCTTTTATTTCACAGGCATCCGATTGGGGACTAGATATATGTAAATCAATCAAAATAGAAATTCTAGCACCGCCTTCAATTCGCTTAGAGCCACCAAGTGTAACGATGTTTCGTGGTGAATCGATGCGTATAAGATGTATAGCATCACAATCAAATCCAACAAAGGAACGTATTGGATATAGTTGGACTAAAAATAATGCCCTTTTTCATTCCGATCCACAATTTGAGATGTGGGAAGACTTGTATCCCGATGGAAGTATCCTCACGATACAAAATATCCACAAGTCTGCAACCTACTTATGTACATTATCAAATACCCTTGCATCCGTGTCAGCAAGTATTCATGTTAACATTGTCGATTTGGAATTGATGAGTATATGTAGAGAAAATTTATCATATGGAATTAAATGGCCTGCTACATCATCTGGACCTCCAGTTTTACACGATTGTCCAATTGGATATATTGGCATCGCTCAAAGATATTGTGAACAGCAAGATTACAATAAATCGGAATGGTTAGTGCCGGATTTTGCAGATTGCATCAATCAAAAGCTTTTGAGGATATCGAGTGAGGTAAGAGTAATCCCATTTATGGATATATTTAAAGGATACTTTGAAAGAATTTTTATTTCTTTCATCTCTTTTTTGAATTCCCTTTTTTGGCTTCTTTTTTCATGTTTGTCGGTCTTTATTATTTAAATGTTTATGGACTATGTCCTTAAGATGATTTTTATGAATATTTTTACGAGCGAATTCGAACAGAAGTTGCTCATGAAGCAGAAAGTAGCTTTTTGAATAATGAGAAATTGTATGAGCTACAATTAGCCAGCATAGTGTTGTGTTGAAGCATAATAAAATCAAGCCATAAAAATGTAAATAAGCGAATCTGCCAGTGTGAAAGTTAAGCTTCTGTGGCTGGAATGGTTAGGAAGCAGACTGGTTTTCTGTAACTTACTTTTGTAAGGACGTGGGTTCGATTCCCACTAGAGACTGATCTCTCAATAATTATATAAAATGTTGTCGATATGCTAAGGATTCGCATAAGGCTCACGACATTAAACATAGACTCTAGACTCAAGAGTTTAAGTTGCTCCTAGCTGAAAGCAAGGCTTAAAAAACTTAAGTAGCACAATAATTTATTTAATAGAAACACAGTTTGCAGGTTGTCAGCTCTCTTGTAACTCCTCTTCAATCTACGCAATAAGTAAAGTAACATGTTGAAAGAGCATGTACAGTCAATGAAGCAATAGATTTGATTAAATATGTACCAGCCACGCAGCTGTAATGCATTAAAGACAATCAGTGCCAGAAACTAATCACAAAAATTCCCAAGTTTCAAAAATCATTTTTCACAAAACAAATTATGCTACATTCTTACAAGGGATATTCAAACTTCAACTTTCTCTAGAATAAAAAAAATTGTAAAAAATAAAAAAGAAGAATTTTCTCGTTCTTTTTTATTTCCTCAGCATGAACCGCACACAAACAGAGAGACACGCTTACCCTTTTCAAGTTAAAAATGTATTTACTGTCGCTTAATGCAAACATATTCTTTTTTTTCTTCCTTCATACCATCCTTAAATACTTAGATTTAAATTTTCCTGATAAATCGGCATGAATATTCTTCATCTTGTTGTTATATTTATTTTATTTTTTTTTCTTTCTCATCCTCATACATAAACCATGGAAATGGAAAGAAAATTTATTTTTACTATCTAATATGAAATGTGCTGAGCATCCATAAACAAATGAACAAATGATAAATTAGCAATAAATCTCGATGTGCTGAGATTTTGAAGTGTTTTCTTTTCTGTTTCGCTTTTTTTTGGAAAAGGAAGCGGATGTGATTTTTTTAAGGCTAAAGATTTAGGCGCATATGAAATGATTTGTGGGGTCTACGGACTTGAAATGAAGGTTATTTAAAGATGAGTGCTGAATTGGTGTGCAGAGACCAGAAAACAGTTAAAATGAATATGCTTCTTGTGTTTAAGCGTTTACATTAACTTGTGCCTGGATGGGATCTCCAACTAAGGATACTACAACGTTTACTAGTCATATATCAGCCTTAATACAAGTCGATTGAGAGTAATTCACTATTAAAGAGCCTAAACTAGACAGAATGAGATCTTTAGACTCAATTGAAATTCAGTCCAGCCATTCAAACTGAACAAGCCACAAAGCATCTTATAAACAAAACAAAAGCCTTCCTTTCCCTTCCTCAAGTTCAAATATATATATATATATTTTTAGACAATGCTGAAGCAAAATGAAATGGAACTAAGCAGTAAAAAAATTGAAAGAATGAAACTCATTGAGAATTGAAGACGATGCGGCAAATTTGAAATGATTTACTTGAAAGCTTTTTTTACTTCCTTTTATTTTCTCTTTTTGTGCTTGTTCGACTTTCTCGTAATGAAAATGACATTTTATCTTTGCAAGATGCGGATGGAATGTTAGAAATGGCGATTTTTTGCGTGGTTAAAAGAAAGCAAAAGTTTTAATTGAAATTGACATAATCTTAGTCTGTAAAATTTGTTCCTTAATGTGAGTTTTGTGTAGATTAATTTAAAATCTTTAATGAATTGCATTTTATGGTTCAATGGTTAAGATTTAGGGTGGGACAACTCTAAAGTTATTAAAAATAAGTTGCATAATGAAGGTTATTAAGGGATGAAAAATTAATGAGACTTTCACAGCTAATTAGTCTAAAATTAAGTCAATTTCACTATAAATTGGATAAGAAGATTTGAATTAATTTTAAAACTGTAGGAAAATTGCCATAATTAGGTTGTCAATGACAATATTTAAAGAGCTACTTAGAAGCTTTAATACTCTTTAAAAATTGATACAGTTTGCTGTAATTTGTGATAAAAATCTCGAACAATTAAGAAGAAAGAAATGAATTCTCACATCAGCACGAAGCTGATAAACCGATTTTGAAAATGAGATTAAGTATTACGTTATATGCACCTACGTTGTGTCACATAATAATCTTTATTAAGGTTACCTTAACTGAGATTCTGTAATGAATGATAAAAGAATATTAAAGCTCAATGAATCTGAATAGCTTGAATATGCTTTAAGGTACAAAATCTTTGCATAGAAATAAGACAAGTCGTCTATTAATATCCAAAAAAAAAGTTGCTAAGATAACAAAAATCGACTTTTATGTATTTGAACGTCTGCTTCTTTTATAAGAGCTTCGAAATTCGACACACAGACAAAAAAAATCTCAAAAAAATGACTTTTCATTATTAAAAATTAAAAGCTTCTAATTTTGAAAATAAAAAAAAAGCTTTTCATTTTTATAAAAACAATTCCACGATAAGATCCATAAATGTTTTTAATGGATTCCTCGCTTCTTTTTTGCTCAAAAAACCACATTCAAATTCTCAAAGACAAAAAGTTACGCAAAAGCAAATTTTCTTACAAAAATCATAAATTTCTTCTTTTTCTTATCCGTGTTGAATGAACAGAGTTTCTTGGGGACAACAAGGAGAGATATACATTCAGTTGAAGTGCTCTTTAGCTTGACAAATATCATTCAATATTCAATCTGTCTTTTGTTTTTTCATCATCAAATCAGATTCCTCTTGTGTGGGTTTAAATGATTGTCTTGCTGACGATGACAAACGGACACACATGTGGGTTGTTGATGGGATTTCGGGGAATATTTTTTGAAAGTATAATGAGAATGAATGGAATCAGTTTTGTTGACTTTTTGGGATACTGTAATTGAAAATACTCAACAGGACTATACGGTGGTGAAGTATGGGATATTTTTGGAGATAGGTTTACAGCAGAGTCCAGTTGTGAGTTGCTGGGAATGGAATCTTAATTGCTTTCTCATGGATACGCTATCGTTTAGCTAAGGACGTGAAGGATAGGAATCTTTCGTAAATTTGGAAGGCTTAGCTTAAACCTTAAAATGGTTGGTTTTATGATGTCAAAGTCAAGTAAATCTTAAACTACGATTCGAATAGATTCAATTTGAACGGGAATATTCAGGAGCTCGAAGTCGACTCAAGTCGAGTTGACTCGGAGTTGACTCCGAGAAAATGAAGTCAAAAATGAACCCTATCGACTTCGAGCTCTGGAATATTCTAGAACAAAACATTTATTCAAATCACGGACCCCTTTAGCTATTGAAATTACAAAGTTTCACAAAATACACAAAAAGGATACCATAATCGAAATGAAAAACTTATAAAATTAAACATCAAATCAAAAATTCTCCAGAATATCCCACAACTACCCACTTTATCAGTCCTTCTTATCATCCAATGTTTGTTTTATTTCTTAAACTTGACTGAATGAAGAAAATGATGAAGTGGTTCAAAGGATGCTACTTATGAATTCTTTCAGAAGACACAAATATAACTGAGTTAATACTAAAGTCAGCTTTCTTATGTTTTGAATCTAAATGCACATTTCCCTTGTTAAAAAATCTTTTTTATTTTTAAGGAATATTTTGATGACTTTTAAAGCTGGAACTAAGAACTAGCAAAAAATTTATAAGGATTTTTATTTTCATTCACTCTCCATCCATTCCTTGTTGATAATCAAACTAAATTCTTTTCTTTTTCTTTTTCTATTTACAGTTTAAAGAGCTTACATATGGATTGCAAAAGACAAACGCATCAACTTTACTCCGATCATGTCTAGAATATGTAATGAGTCATTATGATCAATTTTTGCCCGGTGAGGCTGGCAATCTATTGGATCTAACGAAAAATGTAAGTACAAAACAAAGAAGAATGTTGAAAAAAGAGGAACAAAAACTTCTTCTGCTTACTTTTATTGCGCATTGGGTTTTTATTTCCACTTCTCATGGGAGCTGCACGAGTTTCTTTTATGGCAAATATTTTCGGCTCTTTTTCCTGCCTTTTGTTTTACTCGTTTTGAGAGTTTTTCTTCCTGGTGCCTTTGTTTGTGCTGCTTATGGAACTTTTTTTTTGTTGGGATGAAGAAGTTGAAAAAATGCGAGCAAGTTCGAAAGTCACTAAGAAGTGATGTATAAGGCGCATTTTTAGTCAGTTTTTATTGTAAATCAATCATGCAGCCTCCTAAACCAATAAAACGCTCACCATTCTTCAAGAAAAACTTGCACACAAAAAACTGCGTCAACCATAAAATAAGGCTTTCTTATTCCAGTTACTCGTGTCCTTCTAGACACTCGCACAGCATCATAAAAAAATTACACACAAAGTTCATTATATTTATTTTGTTATGATGAAATTTAAATATTTTTGTTGTTAAATCAAAATTTTTGTTCTTCTGTGCCATAAATGTTTATGATAATTTTGCTCTTTTATTTTTTATACGTTTCGCATTTTCCTTGTCACGAACACGCACAAACGCATGCAAGAAGATTACACTTTAATATGTTTTGATGCGGTGAGATCTTCTTTTTTTTTTGCTCTGTCGTTGCTTTTTGGACTCTTGAGAAGATTGAGGAAATGTAAATTCAAAAATATGGAAGCTTCTTCTTGGAATTTATTCCACATCAGATTTTATTTTATGAGGAATCGACTTAGTTTTATTCTTTTGAAATTATATTATTGGTTTTTATGGAACTGGCGTGGGTTTGGAATATTAACTTTATAGACGACATTTTAAATTATGACGTTTGTTCTGTTAAAGCCAAGTTAAAGCTTTTATGATTTAATAACCTTACATTGTAATGTTCATCAAAGCAACATCAATAGCTTACTTATGATTTATTGGTTTTTATAAAGGACAATGAGGTGCTCCACTTTTGAATTCAAGAGTCGGTTTCTAGATCTTCTTATTTGTATCTCATAGTGAAACCTATGTTGCCCTAGAAACCGGTGTCTAGGACATTACCACAAGTTTTAGAGCTTAGTGCTAGATCTAAAACATACATTCACTTATGACGTCCGAAGTTAATGGTCATTTTTCAAAATTTCCTGGAATTTTTAATGTTCCTTTCTTGCTGACCCTCCCTCCCCTAGAAGTCATAAGTGAACGGACCCTCAACTTTATATTGAACGCAGTTATAAGTTTTTACACCGCTATGTATGGACCAGGACTTAAATTGCTTTTCACTGTAAGACTGAAGACATCAAAGGCCCAGAAATATAGTACATACCTACCGTCGGTACCGCCATATTTCGACCCTGAAAAAAATCAAACAACCATTTTCATCCATTAAATATTTTATTCCCCTTCAAATTAAAATAATTTATTTGATTTTGTGCTTGTTTTCGCCAATTATTAAATGAAAAAAGTGTAAACAAATTAAAAATATTCGGTACCCATAATCCCTCGTAATTTCTTACAAAAGTCTTTTGAAACATCATCTTGTTATCGCCGGAAAAAAATAAATAAGTAAACAACGAGAAAGGGGAGAAGTTAAATAGCTAGGCTGTATATTATTTAAATATTAGTGGGTGAGAAAGGGGATCGGATAATTTTGTGAATATTTGATAGCTTCAGCCAGAAGTTAAGAGTTTTAAAAATATTTGTAGACTGTTGTGTCATCTTGACTTGCTGAATCTTAAGTATTTCAAAACTCTTTCCAATTCATCACAAAAACTCCCCTTAAAAGTCTATCAAACATTCATTAATAGCTCTAAAAACCATGAAAATCAATTGATCATCAAAATTCCGCTCATGAATTTCATGATTTCATTCCGCAAACAGCTCAAAAAACTTTTTTACGACACTCATTTGGAAATTAAAATTATGAAAATCACCTCAAAAGTTTTTATTTTATGTTTCATAATCTTATGCCATGAATTTTCAACCGCCATGAAATTTATTCCTTCGCACACCTTTGCGGGATGTTGTTTTTTGCCTTTTCTTCTTCAATTCTCCACCTTTTTCCTTTTTCCACTCAAGATTTAGATGCGAAAAGGAATGGAAAATATAAAAATATTTTGAACTTTGTTTCGCTAACCACGTTGGAAAAGTTTCTTGTTTTGTGCTAATTTTTGGCTTGTTGTGTGGGGTTTGGAGTGTCGGTTTGGGTCAAAATTTAAGATTTTGATAGGCGGTGACCTCTAAGCAGTAATGTTATATATTTTATATTTTTAAATACGCCTCTTACATTATAAAAATGAGACCTGACACGAAAAAAATAATGCAAAATTCAGATTATATTCGGTTACATTCCCACTCACGGTTACATTTGGTACGAATCCCAAACATTAAAAAAATTGGAAATGTAGGTGATTCTGCCAATTCGAAATTAAGCCTTAATACCCGAGAAGGTAAGCAACAGAGTGGATATCTGAATTTCCTATTTGTATCTGCATTTTGGGAGGACGTAGGTTTGATTCCTGACAGAAACCGATCTCTTAATTATTAATTTGAACATTGTTGATGTGACAAGGATTCGAACAATATTAAGGACATTTAAATTAGGCAAATTTTAGATATCAGATATCTGGACCTTTTCGTATTTTCTAGTTTACTTGTTGTGTGGTTTAAATCTGTCCTGATTAAGGCGTGGAAACTATCCCAAATATCAGATTTATCCCACATATCCCAAAAATAATCAAAAAATTCCTGAGCATGTATGCACGATAATAAAGATATCCCAACGTATATTCCAAGTGTATTGGACGTGTAATTTCAGGATATAATGGGATATCTCAATTCTGATGTATACAGGCTCAGGGATAATTTTGAATATTTTTGGGATATATGGGATAAATGGGATATTTCGGATAGTTTCCACGCGATAGTCGTGATTGAACAATACTGCTGAAAATTCCAATTTTATAACTTAAATAAAACGTTTGAAACTTTCCAAATCATCAAATTCTAAAGCTAAACTGTGACTAATTACAAAAGATAAATCTCAATTCAAACAATGCGCTCTACCCTCATCACCTCATCAAACAGAAGACAAAGTTTCTTCTTTCTAATTTTCATTCTTTCATTATTTTTTCACTTTTCTTACCTTGTTAGCGAGGAACAAGCACAAACAGTGGTGAAGGTTGTAAAAAGAACGAGAGAAAGTGGAAATGATTTACAATTTACTGTTACATTCGCATAAATTATTCAATACTTTTTTTTAAATTTATTTTACACTTTGCGTGCTACTTACAGCAACGTCATCTTCACATTTCACACTTATTCTTTCTCATCTTCGCACTTCGTTACCATTTTCATGCTTATGGATTTTTTTTGGGTATATTAAACTTGCCAAAAATGTCATGACTTTCTGAATTTAAGAAAATGAGACGAAAGAATGTGAAGGACAACAAGGCATTGTTGACAGATCAGACGACATTGATATATTCTCGTTTATTTTCCTCCTTTTTTCGTATGTCTTTGGCATATCTAACAAATATGCAAACAATACATGACATTCTGTATAGGAGTTGTTTTTTGTGGAAGTGTGTTTGGATTAATAGATTTTGGTGGATCGGAGTGCTGGGATGCTGGTAGGGTTCTTTTATAGTTAATGCTTTAGCTGTTCCAAAAGTAAAGCCGTAAACATTTGTGACTGAACACCACTGAGTTGAAGGTTCCATTCCTGATACAAACACTTTGCAAGACATGATTCAAAACTTAAGAGCTGAAATCTTTTTCATTGACGAATGTAGAACCAGGTCCAATTGATCGAATTATCGCTAAAAAGAATCAAGTTGTGAGAGTGACCTCGTAAACCTTTGCCCGCACTTATTTGATGTCCAACAGCTCAACTAAAGTTCTTATAGAAAGCACATCGAACAACAACATAAAAGTGTTAAAAATCCAAAAAAAGCATTTTACAATCCTTCAATCCATATTCACTTTGGCTTTCTGTACGAATTTGTCATTACCACAATGCAAATTTATGTAGAGGCTGAAAATTCAGAGCCGCAGCATGTTGTCAAAGACGACAATTTGTTTCAAAATAAAGAGAGAATATTTCTCCTTAAAAAAAGGCATAACATGAGCTATCTCATTGTAGTCATTGTATGTGAATTTAATCCTACTCGTGTGGATAATGAAAATATTTCGAAATAGAACAAAAAGTCGATACGAAAACATGGAAGAAGGAGTCTAAATGATGACAAAATCGGTCAATTTAATTCCTTTTCATGTGGTAAGGCTTTAAAAAGGCAGGAAATTCTGTCGCTTGATGAGCTTAGTATGAGGATTAGATTGTGGATTGTAAATCATTTTTTCGATGTGTTCCTATTTTTGCCACAAAACAAGTTCTATGAGCGGAAAAGTTAAATGAACAAATACAATACAAAAAGGGATAAAAAATTGGCTCGGAACTAAAAATTTTCATCAGGATTGTTTGTGAATTTTTAGGGGCTTTTCTTAACAAATTTTCTATGATTAATCGAAGCTTATGACGAAATTGTTTGGAATTAATGCAAGATTTCAAGAATTAAATTGGATTAAATCAAACGGTTTTAGTTCGCAGTAAAGAAATTTTGGGTAAATCAATCAGGATCAATCGCTGCGTGAAGCTGGAACCTGGAAAGTTAAAGCATAGAAACTCGTGCCATTATGGTAATAATATTCATTCAAAATCTAAATTGGCATAAATTGTGCAAGAAAGGATCAGAATGCCATATAATTAGGGATGCTGGTGTCTTAGGATTTAACTCTAGATATTGTAGATCACTTTTCAATCAAGTCACTTAGATCAAAACTAGTTCAACCTAACGCATAGGCTGAAACCTTTAAAATACTTCAACAAAGACTTTAAACATCTTTAAAAAGCAGATCGGATAACACAGATAAATTTCAAGAACGAAAAATTCCCAACATTTTGTTCTTCTTCCTCATTTTTATTGGTTTTTAAACATACCGATATTGTGAGGCATACACACATATGAATGAAATAATTTTTCACTAAAACACTCAAAATTGTCATCTCAAAGAGTATGGGAATCGATGATAAATATTCTCGGCTATAAAATCGAATATATATCGAGCAGTTTTCTAGTCACTTAAGTGTCCCCTTATGTGTGTTATACAGAAAACATTTAAAGAATGACAATGGAGTGCAATAGGAAGCACCATAATACATTATGTCTATATTTTAGACGAAATGACTTTCTAGTCTAGTCTATAGCTATTACTCTATGACAGTGATCACCAACCCATGTGCTGCGGCATACTAGTTTGAAAAACATTAAAAAATCTTAAGAACTTTATGCCGTGTCTTGCAACAAAAAACTGCTGTGGCACAAAAAAGGTTGCCCACCACTGCTCTATTAGAAATGGAATTATAGGCAAACAGAGATTCGAGCTATTAAGTCAAACATTATTTGAAAATCGCATGGAAAAATAGTTGCAAAGACAATTGACTCAAGGGAGGTAAAACTAGCAATTTTTAACAAATGCATCATAAATCTGCAGAATCCAGTTACCAACCACAGGACGGTTCACAAAAATGAATCTAATTCTGTACACGAACGCAGAAAAATGCGAAATTGATAGGGGCTCGTTCACTTATTACGTAACGCAAAAAAACGAGTTTTTAGACCCCCCCTCCCCCCCTGTAACAAACCGTAACAAAATCTTAGACCCCCCTCCCCCCCTAGTGCGTTACGTAATAAGTGAACGAACCCTAGAGTAAAACTTTTTTTGCGAGTTTATTTAAATCTCTTTTAATCGCTTTTCAAAAAATGCCCTTCCAAAAAAAGAGAATCCTTTCGCTTAGCTAAATTGCCTTTACTTTCATTCCTCGTATCCAATATCACGGCCGGCGCCAATTTTCATTTATATCAATGGCAATTTTATTGTCAATTGAATTGAATTCAGCATTGAATGGGAGACGCGATGTAAAGCGATGAGATATTGAGGAAATTCCTTTATGCTTTAAAGCCCTATAGTAGTAATATCAATTCAATTCAGCTTTATTGTGTGTGATACTAAATGTCAATTGAATAAATCAATATTACTTGGGAATTGGATGAAGAGTTGGAGTTAGCTTTGTGTAGTTCTTTTTGTATGAATTTTATTTTTTTGTGTGAAATGATGCTCCACATCATTGATCACTTTGACGATGGGATTGAGAAGCTGCTGCTTTATATTGGTTGGTATTAAGGAATTAAATTGAAAGGGTGATGGTAAAGTGGCTTTGTGGTGCAGTACAGATCACTTCTTTGGTATTTAAAAATTGCAGCACCAATCTAGGAAGGTTTTTAATTTCTACAGATTTTTTCCGAGAAGATAACCTGTTTCCAAGCTTTTATTAAATATTCCTGTATTCTTTAATAAGGCAGATTTCTCTTGTTTCTTAAAGCCTTAACTTACTCATATCTACCCTATTGAATTCTCTTAAACTTTTTTCATCAACCAACTTTAATACACAGTTTATCTCCAATTCAATATAAGTTCTGGATGTGCTCATTCACGCAAAACAGCTCCCAGGTCACACATTATCCAATCAGCAAAATCACCACAAATTGCTGATAAATTTTTCGAAATTCAATGAATCACAAAATGCATTCTAATCACCGGAAACGAACAACAGTCCTAACTTATTTCCTCTATTTATTATTGATTCGTGATGATAATACACAATATAAACACATAAAGCTATTCAGAATGCCATAATATATAATATAATATTAAGAATGTGGACTTAACGTAACGAATACAAGAAAAGTGACAATTAATCAGAGATTTAGGGATTTCCAGATAAGGCACGACTCTTTTTTCAACAGTCTATAGATGTAGACGGCGTTGTTGTTATATGCGCATAAAAAATCTCTTTTATCATGCGAAATTTATCATCATCATTGCCGGAGATTCTTTTATTTCAATTCTTTTTAACCCCCTTTTTTTGTTCTGTATCTTCTAGATTTATGAATACTCACAACAAATGGATGATAATGTGGAGAAAGAGATTTCATCTGATGTTACATTAAAAATAATTGACATGATACTCGTAAACGAGACATCACTCAATAAAGCAACGGTAAAGTATCGAAAATGTGTGAAAAAATAAACCATTAATTTTATTTGATTGACAGATTCTTGTGTGACAACGACAAATATAGAAAATCTCTTTATTATATCCTTATTTTCTCATTTTCATTCTCTCATTCTCACGCAACTTTGACGGCTGGAAAATTATCAACAACAGCAAGTACAAAGGCTCCAAGAACTTGTACAATTTGTCGCTATGAATCGTGAATCGGCATCATTTGTACTCCCGTCAGTTGTTGCAAATCCAAAATCCATTTCATCATCAGCCGCATCAATCTCGCCGATGAGACAACTTAAATCTCTTCAGATTTTCAAGAGCAACATTAAGACACTGCCGTTCTCTTATCAAATATATGGGTGAGGAGTTGATGTTATTTTTTGGTAGCTAGTTTATTTGAATTTGGTTTTGTGCCTCCCTTAGAATTTTATAGGAAGTCTGTGTCTGCTGTTCAAATCATAAATTTTATTGGCAAACTCTTTAGTTATTTTAACAATCAGTTTTTGATGGGAAACGAACTCACGATTACATTTATTGTTCAATATTGTTTCAAAAATGCTGATAGCTTAGCCAACAGGAACACGATCTTCAGATATTTTTATGCAGAATCGGCAATATGCATTAGCTGAATTTGAATTTGATTTATTTAAATGATGTCATTTAAAAAGATCCGTCTCTGCTGGGAATCAAACTCATATCCTCAGCAATCCTATGTTGTTTAACCTGGTTTAACCTCGTGACAATAGAAGCTCCACTGGACTGCACTGACAGATTCCGCTAAAAATAGCTTGATACTTCAAATTCAACCCTACTTCGAGAGCATTCTCTTTAAAAAAAAGGTTGGTTTTAGATAAAAAGCTTAGTCAAGAGTTTTTTTCCTATTTGATAATTTTTCTGTACTGACTAAAATCGGTGAATGCTCCCTTTATTAGCCAGAAGTCAAGTTAAATTGCAATCAAGTTTTAAAATTCTCACAAAATCTCCACAAAGAACCAGATTGCATATATTAATACATTATTGAAATACTTTAATCTTTTCGATAACGCTGATTTACTTCGTTCTACAACTTTTTTTTTCATTTCTGTAATGCAATTTACCCTAAATTGACAACTCAACCGTGCCATTAAATTGTTCTTCATCTTCTTCCTCCGTCACTCGCTTCATTTCGTCATCCCTTTTTACTACTTTTTATACGAGATGACAAATTTTCTTTTTATTTTTATGTACTTGTAACCTACATCTCAACTCAAACATACAATTCATTCGACATCGATTGTGTTGAAGAAAATAAGAAGAATTTTTATTTTATTTTATTACTTTTTTTTCTCCTCCTTCCTGGGTGTGAAATAAGGAATATGATTTCTTGATCCTTCTTTTTTGTGTATTGTACACATTTGACAGACATCAATAAAACATCATCCCATATTTCATATTCTTGCATATCGACATCGTCTTTTTAGAGGAGATGAGAGGAAATAGGAAAAAATGGAAAATAAGTTTATGTGCGTTATGGGTACACTTTGACACCATTTAAGTAATGGAAGTTGGATAGAATTTATTGAAGTTACGAAAAGAATTTGAATTTAAGACATTCCTAAGAACAAGGCTAGAGCTCACTTATAGTTCAGATTCAACTTCCAAAAATAGACATTCTCCTGGAAACATTTCTAATGCTCCTGACCACACTCGAAAAAATTTACCAAAAAATTCGTAAAAAAAATATTTCATTTAAAATTCCATCCATCCCCATTTCTTGGTACCGAATTTTTTCATCATCTAAAAACATTCTTTCACATTTATTTCACACGATGAAATATGAATTTATACCCCTCCTGTTTAAGTCATCCTTGTATCTCCATAAATTTATGTACGAAGTTAAAAGAGAGAAATGCATAAGAGCGCGCAATAAATAAATCATAAATGCCTTCGTATTGAGTACACGAGAGAACCATTTTGACAATAAAAATCATCATACATTTTATAACATTTTTATATTATTCCAAAAAAATAAGAATGTTCATACAGAGAAGCAAGTATATAATGTCGGAGGCAATATAGTCAAGTCTGGATGTAGAGGAATTCAACTCTGTTCCTACAATGTGTGCTTTACATACTTACAACTTTTTTTTTCTTGAAAATGTCACATGCATGATGGGATTTTACATATGCAAATTGAAAATCATAAAAGTTTAGTTTGTATTTGAATGAGAAGTTCCTTGTCTCGTTCACGTTTATGTTTTTAACTTGAAATTCAGTCATTCTTTTTATCTTATTCAATTCGTTATTTCAAGTTGAAATTTTCAACAGCAACTACTGCTTTTTTAGCATTACATTGGTATGGATTGACGTGAATTTGTAAGACAAAAAAAAACTTAGGTACTTGATAGGCTCAGATCCAGAATTATTTTTTGAGGGACTCATTTGACCCCATGCTGGCTTTGTCTTTAATTCTATTAGCAAAATGAAATAGAGAACTAGACATACTTTGGATTTAAACCTGGTTCAATAGAGTCGGTTGGTCAACTTACTAACCACTACGCCACTGCTGATTTTTTGCTGCAATTATGCGAGCCCTAAAACAGCTGTTTTAAAATTAAACACCAAATCATAAATGCTTCCTTAATTCCAAATCAATCCAGATTCCCAGATCAAAAACTGAATACATTTTCAATCCACAGATGTAAAAGAGTTTGTCAATAAATTTTTATGAAGCACAGGCACAAGAACAGCACAAGTTCATCAAAAATCACAAATTTTCATCTTCCTCTTATTTTTTTTTTTTGTCTTTCCATTTCACAGGGATCAGCTGTTTTCAAATCAGTTATACTTGTCAATTGATGGCAGCATCATGCTTACAGAAGCAATGTCAAATGAAAGTCTTACGATTAGTATTGTGACGTATAAAAATCTTACCTATTTTCTACCGAAGATGTACTTTTCAAGGAACAGGTAAATGCTATTTATTTTTGTGCCTTATTTTATTGTTGACATTTTAGTTTAAGTTTTAATCAGTTGAGAGATAAAAATTGATGAATATTTGAATTTTAAATGAATGATTTCTGGTTGGCAGAATTTCAAGGTTGGTAGAATTTTTATTGAGGAAGGAATCAATTGTCATTTTAGTAATCATGATAAATTATATCATAAAAATTGAATGAGTTAATATTGATTTTGTTCGTGATAAAATCTAAATTTTGAGGATTACAGTTCAAATTGATCAACTTAATCATGAATGTTAAGTTTAAGATTAAAAAGGAATAATTTAAGAGGATATTAAATTATAGAAACTGATGAATCGAATGTAAATTGTTTACATATCTAAACATTAAGTATCTTTAAATCCATTACCTGTGCAAGGCGTGTATAACTTCAAATAAGCTCAGCATTTTTTTTATTGTGTAGCTTACGTAGAAATACATGAAACCATTCTGAAACCGAATTACTCTTTAATTAGACTGCATCAACACAGACTTACAAGAAAATGAACTTTAAACTGCAAATAACCCAAAATCAATCATTTTTTTTCTATCTAATTTGAAACACTGAAATTCAATCTGTATGAGCCGAAGACATGATAATATTAAAAGCTCTGCCACATCCTCAATTAAGAAAATCATATAAACTATTCTAAGAACAACCATGTGACCTAGATACCAAAAACTCACCTAATTTCTACACAATACGTGACTACTTCTTAAAGTTGCTATTCATTTAGTAAGAGAACTTTAATAAATATGATGTCAATCACCAAATTACCAGTGACATAGAGAATCAGAATAAAATGAAGATGCTTACAACAAAGGAACCCATTTGAAAATATGAAGTTTTTATGAAAGGGATGAAAGGTAGATTCTTATTATGTTGATATTAAGAACAGTAAGATAGAAAAGGATTCTTTGAAAATTTTACTATACACAGAATCAATGTTTATTGAATAGACAAGCACATAGGAAGGGAGAGAAACAAAATGAAATAAAGTAAAATGAAGAAGGTTCTGCTGGTGATAATCATAACAATATTTTCTATTCTCAATGCGTACTCATTTCACTTTATGTTTATTCTCTTGTTTATTATATGCATGTACACCCTCATCATACGGCAACAACAGCAGAACATTTGAGTCTCTCGTTTTGTATACAAAAATTTTTATTTTTAGTTTAGTTTGGGCTTAGACTGTTGAGGAAGGAAAAGTTTTGTAGAAGAATCTAGATTTTAAAAAGATATAGAATTGATGATATTTTGATCTTAATTGAATTTTTTTGAAGCTTATTGAAAATTGTAAGGTTTTTTAAGTGACATATATAAGTGGTAAAATGGCATCAGTGACCTAAATGGTAGAGCGTTGTCCTTCCGTGCAAAAGGTATTTTTCCATTCTACCGTTCTAGTTACGAAGCTCGGTTCGTGTGGGTGTAGTATTGATGTCTTTGGCATAGAATGTGCCTCCTTTGCTAGGTATACAAAGATAAACTGTATGCAGGGTACATCAGTTCTTATGACGTACTCGTGTCTTTGCAATGTGCAGAGCTTGCAAGTGGTTTGGATCCCACTATAAACTGTAGGTCTAAAGGGTATGGTACAATAGATTCTATACAAATTGAATTGCAGTGCCTCCAGCTGAAAGGCTGGGTCGTTCACACATTATTATGTGACATATATATTAATGTTGATCACCAGCTTATTTACTTCGCTGGTCGTACAGATCAATTGTGATCCATGACTTCCCTCAGATGCCGCCAGAAACTGGCTCTATCGCTGGCTACCGCTTGCGAATTTCCAATACCAAATACCAAATGCAATGCTGCCTCTATCAACAGCCTTTTTCCATGAATTCTTTGTCCTTCTACGCTAATGTTGATACTGTTTGATTAAAGCTTCCAGTTCCTTGCGCTTTAGCTTTGAAATGATCAATGACATCGTTCCGATCTCACTTCTGATTATTATTAATTAAACAACCATAAGAGTCACTGCGTAAACCCAACACTAGTTTCCAATCCTTAAAATCACTAGACAGAAACGAATCCTGCTTCAACAAAACTGCTTTACTCACAAAATATTTAAAATGCAAGCATGTTGAGAGTTGTTGAGTATAATTTATAAAATTTTATGCATCCTCTAATGTTATTTCATTCATTCTCTTAATTATCTGCTTCATGACACGAATGATTCTGCAAAACTTATAATTTAGTATAAAACCTTTTTATCAACACTCATTATATTCACCTTTTGAACTTTCACTTCCTCGCTCTTCGTCAGTATTTCAGCATTTTCCTTCTTATTAACTTTAAGTCACATTCATTATCCTCAACTGTCATGGGATGATATATTTATTTACTTGTAAATGATTTATAGGCATTGCGATAGAAACAAGAGGATGGTGGAAGAAGATACCGAAAGAAATGAGGAAGAGAATTCATTTATATGCGGACGAAATAGACAAAAAAAATTAAAGAACTTTTGCTTCCATTAAGAGACTTTTCTATTGCTTTTTTGTACTGACTTGGTGTTAAATTTTGATTGGACAGATTGATATCAGAGAGCAATCCAAGAGATTGGTTGAAATGCAGATCAAGAAAAGGCTTAATACTAGGTTTTTAGGAATTAGAGACGGAATGTGACCAAAAATTCAAAAAGTCTCTTTAAATTTTATAATTTAAGATTCAAAAATGAAAAATTGCTACAAATTTAATATTCACTGGCTCTTCCAAAATTTAGAGCATTCCCAAACTATATAAAATTCATAACATTCGAGGTTCTTTCAGAACAAAATATTACATGAATATATGCTCTCACATGAAAGTTATATCAAGTGCAATAATAATTCATGCTTTCACCTCTTGAAATACATAATTCAAATATCAAAGAGGAGTAAAAAAAGTTTTTTATGATGCTTCTTCCTTCCTTCCTACGTAGTTTTTTATTTTATTTTAAAGAGTTTTTTTTTTTGAATGATAAATGTGAATATCTATATATGGATAGTGTCGGTTCTGTTGATGCTCAAAATGTGCATCTTAAAGTTTTTTGGAAAATTTTCCACATTGTCCTCGATGAAGGATAGATAGGCCTGGTAACGGGTGTGTTGCATAGGATAGACAGAATAATTCTGCAGAATTTTGCTCAACAGTTGCGCAACAATTCTGCAGAATTATTCTGATTAATTCTGCAGAATAATTCTGATGACAACAGAAGATATTCCGAAATCGAGGATAATCCACTTTAGTGAAAGTAAAGTGTAAATCTATAATCACATTCTCATAAGTTATTTATCAGAACTTTTAATTATGCAGAATTGGGAAAAAAATGTTTCTGATTTGTTTTGTGAAATTCTGAAAAAAAAATTTGGAGAATAATTCAGCAGAATAAAAATAAGTTCTTCAGAATTATTCTGGTTGATTTTTTTTTTTGATACATCCATGTCACGCAACATTCTTCAGAATTAATCTTCAAAATTATTCTGTTGTCATCAGAATTATTCTGCAGAATTTATCAGAATAATTCTGCAGAATTGTTGCGCAACTGTTGAGCAGAATTCTGCAGAATTATTCTGTCTATCCTATACAACAGATTCGTAAGCTTCAACTTAGCCGATCATTTCATCGACCGGCTTAAAAGTCGGCGGTTTCGATCTCTGAGCTATATATACCACAAGCTACCATGTGGTAGCTAGCTACCGTAGACAAATGTAAGCACTCAAAAGATTGTTAAATAACTACCAAGTTTCATGAAATGAACAGAATTTTTGCCCTTTTCCTGCTATATTATATTCAATTTTAGAGTCAGACTTCTTCTGTGCTTTAAGTTTCTTTCCAAATATTTGTTTAAGGTAATTTGATTTTTAAAAGTGAATGTTGAAATTGCACTTGTTTCAATTTTATGAAAGGAAATATGAAGAAATGTATGAGCAAATATCATTTGGTTTTAGTTCGGAAGTAAGATGTTCAGGATATAAAATTGGTAGCTTCTAAACTAAAGTTAACCAGATGATAATCACGAACATTACTTTTTCCTAATTTAATCATAGAGCTTTTATTTTATTAACAGTCAGATGGCAAAATAGGCATGAAGACCTGATTGATGTCATATTCATTAATTCTAGCATGACATTCAGTCTTTCACACTCCAAATTGATTAACTAAAAACATCTTGAACTCATTTTGCTAAATTAAAGTCATGACTATTAACATCTTTATTGTGAATTCAGCACAAGAGGCATACCCATTTGAAAAATTACTTCCAACCAGTTAAAAAAAAGGGTAGGGATGAAGTAAGAATTTTATTGCTGACAAATTTCTTACAATTTTTCTCTTTCATGATGTCTTCTTTACATGTTGCTATTCTTCTTTAAGCCTCACACTTTACAGCCACAATTCGTATGGATATGAAGAAGAATGGAAAGTCTAAAAATTTGTTAACATGCATTCCCCCTTTTTTATATCTCAACTAAACCAAAAAATTTATTTGCAGATCTAAAAAACTTGAAAATTCTCATAAAAAAATTTTTTATCTCCTTTCTTATCTCATTTTGTGAACCACACAAAACGTAAAAAATTTAGCTATGGTACTGACATCAATTACATTCCGGCATCAAAAATAATTTCATCGTGGCTGTTCTATTCGAATCATACGAGTAAAACCGCTTATCTCAATTTACCTCTGAATGCAGCACATGTCGAAATTATTTTTCAACATGAAAACTCTCCAAATAATGAATGGATTCCTCTGTGTGGGTGAGTTTGAAATGATGTGAAAAACTTTTTATAGTTTTTGGAAAATTGGGTGTAAAATAGGATGCAGTTTATCGTCTATGATGTAGTGATGATTGATAAATTTGATGTGGTATTTGTAGCTATTGTCTTACGTTCTCATGATCCTTTACTACTCAGAAAATCAGTCATTATGCAGCTGATTGTTTTAAATATCTGAAAATACCCACAATTTTTTGAATCCTGTAACGTCATAAGCATTGTGCGAATCCTTGTCATATCGACAACACTATGTAATGATTAAGAGGTCTGTCTTTGGTGAGAATCGAAACCTCGTCCTCACAAAAGAAGGTTTCCGATATCCAGTCTGTTGCCTAGCCATTCAAGCAACAGAAGGCTAATTTTCGCACTGGCTGATTTACTTTCATATGCCTTAATACCACAGACTGCACTCTGCTCTGAGATCATAAATTTGAATGATTTTAGTGATATATTTTTCAATCAAACTCAATTATTCAAATATTTCTCAAACAGTCTCTTAGTCTAAAAATTGAATAAAACAAGTAAATAATTCAAAAACTTGTCTTTTTGTTTGCAATTCCACATCAAGTTGTAAAACAAAAACTTTAGCTCAATTAGTGGCATTTAGAATTTTTAATTGCATCTACTGTGCAATATTTTTGTGAGCAAAATGATAAAAGTCAGTAATGTTCTATGATTCAGCTTCAAAGTGAAAAGTTTACTCAATTTTAACGATTTTTTTAAATTCAGCTTCAAAAGCGAGGGAATATTTAACTTAATACAACTAGTAAGCTCCAAGGGTGCAGAACTGATAAATTAGATTTTGACTATTTTTGATCAGTTCCGCACCATTGATTAGCTCATAATCTAGTTTGTCTAACATACATAGAGTTTTGCCCAGCTTTGAATTAGTAAGATGCTGATTGCATAAAACATTTGCTACATCACTTCAGAAACTTCCCAAATTTATCTTATTTTTGCATCAAATTCAATGGTCTGTAAAAATCATCACTATTAGCATAAAATTTAAAATTTACATAAAGTTTTAATATATTTTTATTCATCATCTCCACTTAGCTATGATTCGAAAGCCACTTATGATCCAAGTTGGAGAACGGATTTATGTATAACTGAGAACTTAATGGAAAACATAACGAGATGCATTTGCCCTATATCGGGTACATTTGTGGTGCTGTTGGTAAAGAAAAGTTTCAATGTAAGTTCGCTGAAAATTAATTTTGTCCTAGACACAGAATAATGAATTTTCTCATTACATTCTGTTTAGGTTTCATTGATGAAGCCCCCAAGCGTTCCAATGATTGTCGTCATCTGTTGCGGTTGCTGCTTCTTGCAATCAACGATTGCATTTGTCGTCTTGTTGCCAAACATTTACATTCGCAAATGTTATATAAGCATTAATTTTGCAATAATGCAATTCTGTCTTTCCATATCAGCAACGATGTCCTTCATCATACTCGGATTGTTAAAGTTTTTACCGCAAGTAAGTGATGTGAAATTAATTTGGTTGATTTATGTTTTGCACGGCAGGGAGGGGTATGAAAATGAGTTAAATTGAGGTTGGAAAAAGTTTATCATCGTTATGAGAAAATGTGCATGAAATATTTTTTGATGGTAACTTTTTATTCATGTCATAATGAGCTGTGGATGAAAATTAATTTAGCAAGAAAAAGTTAAATAATAATTTGTGTGGATTTTTGAACTTTCAAATGGAAAATAGGAAACTTCAACTTCTTTGTCTATCGGAAATTATTTTGATAATTAATTTTCGCACTGCAAAATTTACATTTTAACATATAACTTGATTCTGTGTAATATTTTGTCAGCATGGAGCTATGGTTAATTAAAAAAATATATCTTGTAGCTCTAAGCTGGATCACTCTCTAATTACGTTCGATTTTTAGGGGGGAGAAGGGGTCTTGGATTTTAGAGCAGCTTCCATGCAAAATTTCGTTGTTTTTTGCCATAATGTCCTAAGTGCCGTCATATCACTTATTTTACTAAAGTGTTTGATTATTCTATTAAAATTTTTTGAATCCCAGCACTTGAAATTAATCAGCACGAAACAAGCTTTTTAATTATATAAACTTTAACAAAAACTCACATAAAGCAACTAAAGCTTCAGATTTTTTTTCTGAGAATTCAAAACAATAGTTGCTCATAAGCATGCATGTAAACATCATGTGAAAATTTTAACAAAAGCTCAGTGCTTTTATAGAGCATCTCAAAGCGCAAAAACAGAAATATTTTCCCACTATAAGTGTTCTTTCACTTCATTATATTCATTATACACTTGTAAGCATAAATTATTTTGAGTTATAAAATAATGTGAAGCAAAAATTAAAAAAAAAATTATGAGCGAGTAAAAACTAGTCAAAGCAGCATGTACTTGTTATTCTGTATTATATCAAACTGCATCACGAGCATCGACAAACGAATGAAAAGTTTTTCCTTTTTACGCTTCGAAAATGCAATTAAAAAAAGTTTTTTTTCTGCATTTATTCAGCTTGCAGGAATTTCTTTATGTTTCGTGAAAAAAAACAGACTGATTTTAGTCACTGCTTTATGCATTTTTGTTAAGTAAAAAGCGCGGAATAAATATTTTTTTTTAAAAAAAAACATCGAGGATTCTTGTTGAGATAAACTTTTGTTTGCATTTTGTTTCTAGGAGAGTTGAGCTTGAATGTTGCTTTATGATAAATAAAATTTCAAAATTATGAACGATTCTCATTTTAAATTTAATTTTTGTTTAACAACAACTTTTTCGATGGATTATGATTCTTGAAAGGAAGTTCACAAACTCCCATCCACCGGCCAGATTTTTGATATTTAAACCAAATACTGAGAGTCCTCGATTTGAGTAGGTAATTTGTTCCAGAAAAATTCTGTTTAAATTGATGGCTCCCAGTATAAATAGGGTGACCAGAAATTTTTTGAATAAAAAGAGGACATCTCACTTGTATACCAATTTTATTAATTTTCTGGACAAATTAGAACAAAACAAAAATATTTTATTTTTGAAAACAAAAAAAAGGACTGTCCTCTGAAAAACCAAGCAGATGGTCAGCTTAAGTATACCTGACTTCTATCGATTTCCTGATCCGATTTCACTGGCGGAATGTACCAAGAATTCTCCTGTTCTACTTTACTAGATAGGAAACCAAAATAGAATCCAAAACCTTAAGTTGTCCACATAAATTTATCACACCCCGTTGTTCCTTGTTCCTCTTTTTTGATTAATTTAAAATAAAATCAGATAAAATACATCAAACTTTAAAGAAAATTTAAGTCATTTTCCAAAGTCATTTTACAATGAAAAGATAAAAAAATAATTCATTAGAAGCTTCTATTCTCCATTCAAAATTCGTTTTTTTTTAAAAAATAAATTATTACATAAAAAAAGTCAATTAAAAAATTTCCATTAAAAATTATTCTACCAAAAATTATGTGGCTGTGATGCTAACGATAAGCTTAATTTAATTTTTAATTTATTACTCATCAGTTCTTCTCATTCAAATGTAGTTTATGTGATATCATGATAAATGCATTACACAGTTATCACGACATAAATCTCTTTCATAAGCATAACTAGGTTGATTGTATAGGAACTGTAGTTTTTGAAATAGCTAGTTGAACTTAACTGAGTAGTGTAGGGATGTGTTGTTTGGGATACTTCAAACAAATTGCAGGATACTTCGGGATACCCGGGAAACCTTAAAATACTCTGGAATACTTTCATATAAAAGCTGGATACACCGAGATACTTCGGGATCTTTTGAAGCACTTTCATATAAAATTGGTATATATCCCAGAATTTCTAGGCCTGGGCTTAAAGTCGATGAATTTTGTACATCGATAAAAAGCTCGAGTCTACTTCGAGCTCGGATGAGTTAAAGTGTATAGATGCTGAAACCGTTCAGGACATCGGAGCTGGAAAATCGACGAATTGATCATAGGTTCGAGACTCGAGAGGTTCAACATATTTGTTATATTATTAAAATAACAGATTTATTTACATAAAAGCTATAAAGCTAGTCCTACATTACAATTCTTTGAACACTCAAAAATACTCAATTTTAAGTTTAAAATTGTGTCTAAAAATTCACTAAATACATTCTCATGAATCTCATCAAAAACTAATCTATACTAAGAATAATTAGCTTATGCAAGCCTTATATGAATATTAACTGACAAAGAGACTGAATTATGAGCATCCGCAACTATCTCGAAATGCCTAAAAATATCGCCTAGCAAAAAAAATGAATATGGGTAAATGAGATTACAAAATATTTATAAACGTGCACACGATCAGCATCAGTAGTAGCATAAAAAGGCAGTAAATTCATGGATAGTGGAATCAAACAGAAGGAAAATGAATGAATACGAGATAGGCATAAAGCAACAAAAAAAAAGTTGTACGAAGTGGGCACCACTCATACGTATCAATAAATTATGATTATGGGGTAGCTGTAGCTATCTAGTAAATGCTTGTTCAATATATCATCGACGAAGAATATTGAAGTGAGATATCCCGAGTGGACAAAGTACTAGTTAAAAGCTTGCCATTGACTTGCCTTTTCACGGCGAGTAAGTATCCATTGACGTGCCTTTGCAACTAGACTTAGGGACGACTAATGACATATTTTGCGCTTTCCATTTAACTGGACATAGGAATTGCAAATATGTCTAGTTAATGTCCAGTAACAAAAAAATCGAAATAAAATAAATAACACGTGTCTTTTTCTCCATATTTTTTCTTTTGTAAAATTTTATTATTGTATTAGTGTAATTAATTAATTAAAGTACACTATCACTTATGAAAAATCTCTAGTAAAAATTGAGTCTCGAACACTTGCGCGTGAAACAATTGTATTTACTTAAAAGTTTCATACAAATTTTGGTAGACCTTATATAAGTGATTTCTGCAAGCGCTTGTGAAGTATATGGCCAAAAAAGTAAGGAAAATTATTTTTGAGTTTCGAACACTTGATTGATTAGCATGAATGTCCAGTTAAAGTCTAGTTAACGTATAGTTCTCTATGTCATATATATTTCGACAAGTTAAAAGACTGTTAAATGATTGTCCAATAATGGACTTTAACTGGCTGTGTCCACCCGGGTATGAATCGTACACACAAGCTACGACTCTGTGAAAATTGTGAATTTATTATGTTTTTATTCTACTTCATTCATATATCTCTCGATGGTCTATGCTTGCAAGTTTGTATTGAACAAGCTATGTCTTATGGACTTGTCGCAGAGATTGTATTTTGTATCATTATAATAATTCTGTTCCATCCGAAAAGGAGGAGCCACAAAAGAGATGATATTTAATGCTGCAGCAATAATTCATAAATATTCAATGAATCGAATCAGATTTTCCTTATTTTCCTCATTTTCATTTTATATTCCACTCAACTTTCGTCCCTTTTTTTTGCTGTGCCTTAATTCATAGACTTGATTTCGGATTAATTTTTATCGTAAACAGTTGATTTGGATTGGATATTTTCGGATGTGGTAATCTTTTGTCTGGAAGGTTGTTGTTACTTGGCATTTAAATATGACAAGGTCCAGCTTAGACACTATGCCCATATCCAATAAGGTTTACTCTTTGGCTTTCTGTGATGAAGGAGCAGAGTATTAAGCCATACGTAACCAGATCTACCAGCGTTAGAGTAAAGCTTCTATGATCTAGTATTTAATCAACCGACTAGAAATCTGTGGCTCAATCTTTTATTTTATTAATCCCAACGCTGTTTAAAAATTTCTTCTAAAATTTACATCACTCCAGGTGACTTGCCTTTAACCACAAGCAATTCCAATTTATCGTCTGACAGTTCCTTTACACTCTCCATTTTCAATATTTTATACTCTCTTTATTCATCCTGTCCTTTGATTTCATGATGTAAATTAATTGATAAAGTCTAAACAATAAAAAAAATCTTTTCTCTTTTGTGTCCTCACAACCGTACTTGCGGCTAACAAAATACAACGAACCCCACTAATCGAATGGAAATGGTTTGAATTGATGATTGGTTTTTGTGGTGGTTCGTGATGAAAAAATTGAATATTTTCAGCTCAATCATATTCACACAAAATTTTCAATTTTTGTGAATATATTTTGATTTTTTTTTTGGGATGAAAATTGTGAGTTGTTGTTTGAGGGCATTGCAATATAGTTGAAGAATAAAGCATTGAAACTGATGACGAATTTGAAGTTCCTCGCTGTGCTTATCAGATGTTGACCTGTTGCAAATTAAATTAGTCTCAGCGGGTTAGAGTTAATTAAACATGAAGTTCTAGAATTAAAGATCAAACAGATTCAAATATCAAATGCAATTATTGATAATTAAAGGAAACACACAAAATTGAGGATGTCTAGTAAGGAAATATTTACATTGTACAGAATACTATATAACGATTGGCCTTAAGTGTAGACACAACATGAACAAAACAACAAGAACATATCCTTATGAACTCAAT